CCATGATAGACTGGTGGTTCCTACAGCATGTTCCTATAACCTGTTTTATTTACGTTTACCCTCTTGCCAACAGTGCCTAATACTAGCAAAGCGCAGGATTGTTGTGTTTAACCTATTTGGTGATGTACAAATGTTTATTATTTAGAAAACGCAAAGCCATACAGCTTCAACCATAAGCACAACTTCTACTGCCATATACATGTCTAGCCCAGCTTTTTCTATTACTCACTACTAGTGAATCATGGTCTGCTGCTTTACTAATTACAAATCACAATAGGAGGTGTTTGATATAAACTAGTTTATCTGCCTACTAGGTTGAAGCATGTTATTCCTATCACCTAAACATACCATTTATGCAAATACTTAAAGCATGTATCCAGCAAATAGTGAACACTAATCTATAATTTACCTCACATTAAAGGGACACTATAGTCCCCAGAACGACTGCAGCTTAATGAAGTGGCTCTGGTGTCTATAGCCGGTCCCTGCAGGCCTTTTAATGTAAACACACACTGTGTGCAGCACTGACGTTAGTTCGTATGGCAGCTCATGTAGGTGGGACATTGTGATGTCACATGGGGGGCGGAAAATACAGCTGTTCCCCATGCAGCCACATGTGCCGCTGTGCTGGGATTTTGTGATTACTCTTCACTTCCTCCCAGCCTACAGAGCAGCGCATGGGAGGAGGCATGATTTAATCTTACAACAAATCAAGTAAGCAAATCTTTATAAATTTGGGGGCATCAGCTCTGTTTCCACAGTTTATTGGTGTTTACTCTGATGTCTGTATTAATATTGCGGGATGTCTAAGTAGTAACATCAGTGTGTGTCAGCAGGGCCAGCCGTTGGGGTGTGCACGCTGTGCGGTCACGCTGGGTGCCATGACAACAGAGGCGCCTGGCGGACAACATAGCTCACAAGCTGGGGACACCAGCATATTCAATTTAAACGATTCGCTGGTGATCCACTGGTGCACACCAGCAGTAGGTGCAGTCAAATTATAGCCTCTCCCTCATGGTTCCGACGCTCCGTTAGTGAGTCAGAGCACAGGCTCAGAGATTCTCAGCCTGCACTCTGACAACATTGAAAGTCAGCCGTGAAGGAGCGGGTATGTCAAAGAGCTACTGATTAGCATAACATCAATATCCGTTATAAAACCAGGAAAAGGTGGGCATGGATGGTTAACTGATTTGGTGGGGCAATGGGCCACTTGACTGGTTTTGCCCCCCAGGCCTAAGGCTGCCAGCCCTCCCCTGGCTACATCCCCTGTACATCACTGGGACAAAGATATTTTGAGACTAAGATGGCACTAATTAGCTATATTGGGACAGAGAGATGGGACTATTTTGAGACAAAGATGGCACTGGAAAGCTGTATGGGGACAGAGGCGACACTAGAAAGCTGGGCACAAATATGGCACTAATAAGCTTTTTGGGGGTAAAGCTGGCACTGTAGGAAGTGGGTGACATGTGAGTGGGTTGTAGGTGGAGTGATTTCCATAGAAAATGTGTGTTATTTGAAGTGTTATGTTTGTAAAGGGGAGGGGTTAGCAATTTAGCCACACCCACGGGGAGGGGGGCGCCAAAAATATTCTTGCACCCCAGGATCGGCCCCGGTAGAGGGTATCATCTATATCTCGCTGGTGAGGCTCAAAGAAGGCCAAAAAAAATGTCTGGTGTTGCTGTATCTCTCGTGCAGATAGGAGTTGCCAGCATTTTGGTTCTGGACTGCCCTTATGGGTGGGATCAGGCTGATATCCAGATGGTCTTAGTTCTCTTTGTAATGGCACATGAAAGGCAAAAATACTCTTAAGACCTGAGTGGGGACTAACTGAAGGGCAAGCTATTGCTCAGAGTTCTCATATGTTCATTCTTTTGATCCGATTTTCATTCAAATAAAACCCGCCTTGCAGCTCATTGAGCTGCATTGGAAAGTCTGTGATTGGACAGCCACAGAAACTCTGTGCTAGGGATGAAGGGTAGGGCACGATATCTGTATATTTTTACAAACTGTTGAAAATAGCATAATTAAATGCATGCATGCATTATTTCATTAGGGTATATCTACTAAACAGTGCTTTATTATTTTTATTTGGGCAATGGAGTGTCCCTTTGATGTTATATGTAGTGTCTGCCTGTCTATGTACCTATAGAAAAATAACATACTTTGTTTACCTACCTAAACTCACTTATCATGCCTAATAATTCATACTGTAAATACTTTTATGTAAAATACCATACTTATATATATATATATATATATATATATATAATTATATGCAAAATGTTTTTTATTATGTATATATTTGTAACTGTGTTTATGATCTTTTGTATTGTCACAACACATAACACTAGCGACAGACTGAGGAGAGTGTCAGTATGTGACAAATAGCATGCTACCTAATCTACATGTTCACACTGGCCCCTAACTATGACACACTCTAATAGGCAATTGCACTATTATGGCACAGATCCCTCTGTTCCTTTTTTCTATAATGGTGTCCCTCTTTTTTAGTATAAATAATGGAGTTTAAAAAGTATACATTGTTTTTGTACTAAATTACATTTTAAAAGACACATGATACAGCAAGATATATAGATTTTATTGCACTGCAGAAGCAGGAGATGTAGGGATGCATCATCCATTACTCAGGCCTTCTTTCTTCTCTTAATGGCATAAAGATGCTTGTTGGATGGTTGGTCCAATGCGCGCCCACTATTTCTACTGCACTTGTTGGTTGTTTCGGGTGTTGCTATATTACCTTTGAAGCTGGTTTGGGGGAAACAAAGCTGACACATACAAATACAAACATAGTTACAAACACACATAGTTACACACATTCACATACACAGATACACACAATGAAAAACATGCAGATACACACAGACACACTGACACATATGTAGATACACAGACACACAGATAAAAACACTAACACACGTGCAGATGTACAGACACACATACAGTTGCACATATACTGATAAACATACTGACACCCATGCAGATACAAACACTGACATACAGATACAGTCACAGAAAATCACAAAAGACAAACAATGACACAAAAACAAGCACTGGTACACACGCAGATGCACAGACACATAAAGATTGAGTACAGAGAGTTGTTATTAATTGTCAGTTTTCAAGCTGGTGTGTCCCTCAGGGGTCTGTTCTGGGATTACTTCTATTCAACATATTTATAAATGGTCTTTAAACGGGTATTGAAAATTGTGTGCCAGTGTTTGTAGATTACACAAAACTAGGTAAGGTAATGCAATGTGAGCAGTTTATATTACCTTGCTGCAGAGGGATTTAAATAGATTGGGGTATTGGGCACTTAAATGGCAGATGAAATTCAATGTAGAAAAATGCAAAGTTATGCACTTTGGGGTGAAGAATGTACAAGCAATTCACACCCTAAATGGGATAGGGATGTGGAAACTGTTATTGATTACAAACTAGGCAACAATGTGCGATGCCAATCGACAGTGGCTAAGGCCAGTAGTGTATTGTCATGAATAAAAAGGGCATTAATTCTCAAGATGAAAATATAATTTTGCCTCTAAATATAAATCAATCTTAAATCCACATCTTTAATATGCAGTGAGCATTTGCACCTGTTTTAAAGAAGTATATTATGGCACTAGAAAAACTGCAGCGGTAGGCTACAAAATTAATAAGAGGGATGGAAACTTTTAGTTATGAGGAACATTTCAATATGTTTATTTTAGAGAAATGGCACCTCAGAGCGGATATGATAGTAGTATACATATATATTCGAGGCCAATATAAACCATTGTCTGAAGATCTATTCATAAGCTGGACTATACAAAGGACATATGGTAACCCACTAAGATTTGAAGAAAGGAAATTTAGTCTAAGGCAAAGAAAAGGATTATTTACAGTAGAAACAATAAGGATGTTGAATTTTCTGCCTGAAGAGGTGGTTTTATCAGAGTATGTACAGATGTTTAAACATCAACCGGATGAATACTTACAAAAACATAATATTCAGGAATATAATTTGTAATATTTGGGGTAACAGCTTCTTGATCCAAAGAGAGATATGACTGCAATGTTTGGGTCGAGAACATTTTCTCCTAGTTTATTGCAAAATTGGAAAGCACTTTTTTGCCTTCTGTTGAATCAACCGCAAAAAAACAAATGTGAGAAAGGCTGAACTTGATGGACGCAAGTCTTTTTTTAGCCTATATAACTATGTAACATAAAACATTATATATCATTAGCTATATATTAAGATTCTAGGGTATATAAAGATAAATATCAATTTATCAATATGAATTTCTGATGATTATTATTGTGATTGGTAACATGTAGACATTCCAAAGATCCTCACAACTGCTTTAATCTCACAAAGGGACATGTATTTGTTACACACAAAAGGTTTACTACACTTTTATAAATTCCCACTCACTAGTGGGTGAACGCTACCAATATACTTTAGTAAACATGCAGGCAGTGGCGTACTAAGGGGGGGGCGGTCCGCCCCGGGTGCCACCAGGGTGGGGGGTGTCGTGACCAGCCCCGCCGCCCCCCCCATGCTGCAGCCGGCCGAGCGCTCTGTAGAGAGCCTCAGGCGGGTGCAGCTTTGCCCGGGCGGTGCGTCCATGAGGGCGGACCGCACCGCCCGGGGGCGCAGCCTGAGGAGAGGGGCTGACAGGAGGGAAGCGCTCAGCGCTCCCTCCTGTCAGCCCCTCGGTTGTAGCGTGGCTGAGCCCTGCAGCACGATGGTCCGACGGGTACAGGGAGCAGCTGTCTCCTGTACCCGGCCGGACTGTGCACTTCCTGTTAGTCCGGCCGGGTACAGGAAACAGATGCTCCCTGTACCCGCCGACT